ACTTGAGCACTGTCTTCGGTGTGGATCTCGTGGGAGGCTATGCTGTTTTCAAGCCCCCTTCTTTTGCGCTGTATAGCCTACGTATACGACCTCACCATCACTGACATTCGGAAGCCTTACCTGAGCTCGCCCAATGCCTCTATCAAGGCTCTTCAGGAGGTATTGCTACACGTCAAAATCATTCGTGATCACACTTGCGAGTCGATGAAGATCGCCAAACAAAAGAGCTGGTAAAACCCCCGGCTCGTACGCATCCACCATCGCTGAGCAGCTGTATCCTGATGGTCAGCATTTCCGTCTGAGGCTGTGCATACTTCTGATCCCATTTTGCGCTCGTGTGCTCGCCATCATCACTGCAAAGTTGCTGCGGGTTGGAAGCTCATCAAACGCTGAAGCGACTACTGCTGAAAATCCTTACACATGGGAATCCGACGACTTTGTATCCACTGGAGCCGCGTGTGCATCACCGTGGAGGTGTTCGGAGATAAATTCTGCTTTATATAGGAGGCACCCATTTCGCCATCGTTCTTGAACAAGTTGCTACGCCAAAAGGTGTTGAAACGTATTCTACGCACTACTAGCTGGTAGCATTAACCATTATTACGAGATAATAAAGTTTGGAACTCAAACCAAATCAGTATTCTTTCATCTTTCTCGCCGATGGCCACTCCTTTCAAAAATGGCACAATAAATTATCTATAGCTATTATTGACATAGCAAGGTGCAATGCATACTTGTGTCATACTTTAGCAAACGGCAGGAGTGACTTCACTCAGAATAATGGTGATACATCAAGGTTGGGTGGGCGAGACAAAAATCGAGCATTTGTAAGATCGCTCGTTCAAGAGCTTTTCAACGGAGACTGGAAGAAGTCCATTGACAGTACGGATGGTGTGGTGTTCGATGGTGTTCGCGCTAACCCCAGCACCGACGACGGCAGTCTCAACTTATCAAGTTGAAAGTAAAAACGACAATCCGATTGCGATGCCGTTGGTTTGCAATGCCAAGGAGGCATTCATCGTGCTAAATGACAAAAGCGGAGCGAAGCGCAAATGCACAATTTGCAAATTCGAGGGTGGATATCCCACCCAAAAAAAACGAATTACTGCGAGACACACCAAGTGGCGCTTTGTAAGCGTACGTATCCTGTTGACGGTGCTAAGCCTCACCTCTGTCAACAAGAAGGCTGGACGTGCTGGCAAAAGTATCACTTATTTTACTTGCCAAAGCAAGTTTATACAGTCGATGGGAACCTGAAACGATCCTTTTCGATTTATATAGCACAGGCTCCGTTCTTGAAAGAGCTGCGTCAAACGAAAAGAAGTAGCATCGACAGATAACACGTAAACACAGTACTCGGGTGTAAAATGGTTCTCTTTATCGTGGTTTTTCCGACAGGGGCGTGTCCTGAAAGCGGTGTGTAATTTTGCGGATTCCTTGGTCAGAGCGGTATTGTCTTGTTGTGCGATCAGGCCCACAACCTCTTGCTAATTGTTGTTGATCATGCCTCGTGCTGTTTTCACTACTCTGTGCCAGAGTACTCGTCGCCGCCTCAATAATTGGAACATTGTCGAGCAGCCCGGACAAGAACGCCTCGCTTACCGCAGATTTGACGTCCGCAATCACTTTCGTACTAGCGCTCTCATCCTTCTGATCGCACAGGCTTCTCCGTTTTGATATCCTCAGGCTACGACTTCGTTGCACCCAGCATTGGATAAATTAATCGAGCGAGTAGTATACGGGACCTTCAGCCTTCCGGTAATTCGTCCAGGTAACACCACGAGATTTGTGGGCAGCCTCTTCGCGGCAGGAAGCTTTCGGTAACATGGTGAACACTCAGGATAATGTAAAACAGCAATATTATCCACCCCTTGCTCTTCAGACATTTCAACAACAGCCACGTGTACTTCAGAGAGTCTCTATGAACATCTGGGGCCGCTAGGGCTAAACAAATGCTCCTCATCCTGCCCTCCACGCAGATTATAGGCAAACCGAGTTCGTTTAGGCGGTGGCGCACTGGCGACTTCGTGAAACACCTCGCGATAAAAGCTGCAAATCCTTCGTCACGTTGGCCACGGCAGCTTCGCTACGGCCGAACCATATTGTTGTTTGTTTCACGACATGGAAGGAGAAGAATTGTGTTGTCTCTGCAGTACCTGATGAGACACAATAGGACGAAGCTTTAAAAGTCACGTACACATAGTGTGGCACAAAGTATGCTTTTGCTTCCTCCGCTGTTATTGGTTAGAGCATCAGGCGACTGTTCACGTGAGGGTCCAAATACGACAATAACTTATCTTGATTTCAATATGGCCGACGTAAAAGAATACCTCATGTAACATTCTGATAACAAAATGGTTAAGGCATCAAATGCTCCATGCGGTTATGTCGCCAACTATGAATACAATGGAATGTACTACTGCACTATCCATTATCGCGTTGCTCGAAATGCTTCATCTTCGGAGACAGCCAAACAATGCGAAGGTATGCGTAGTGGTAATGTCCGTTGTCGGTTTATCAGTAGGAAGCAATACAAGGGCAAGACCTATTGCGGCAATCACCTAAACAAGGCAATCAAAGAAGACAACAAAAGAACAAATGATGTGCCTCCTGCATCGGCCAGACCGAATCCATTTCGGTTTGATAGCCCACCCCGCTCTAGTGGTTCACCAGGCTTTGGTGGATCCAGTCGTCCATCGAACTCTCGTGGTTCATCAGGCTTTGGTTCATTCAAGGCCAAGTCAGTGCAACTACCGTCTCCAACCAAACCATTAACGCAAGAAGAGCAAGACTTCTTTGATAATTTCAATATGTTTCTGACGAGTCGGCTTGACCCCGCCGAACTAAAGAAACGCGGAAGAAGCATTCTCCTAAAGATTCATCCAGACAAATATCGTAGCGGGAACCTTGACGCCAAGACGATAACGCAGTTTGTCTTGAAGCACATGAGCCAAGCCTAGGCTCGAGCGGCGACTTTTCTTTTTTTTGTTAA